TGTTATATCAAAACCGTGAATACCGTTATACTGTAACACTGCTCGATCCGGAGCTGCTGAACCCTAAACCCTAAACCCTAAACCCTAAACCCTAAACCCTAAAGCCCTAAACCCTAAACCCTAAACCCTAGAGACCAGCAGGCACGGTGGCCTTGATGTGGGACCTGCCCTTCCACAACTGGGATTTCATGGCGGCCGTTAAAAACTGGGACACCTTCGGGCGCCTCTGGCCCAAAAGACCGGGAGGTCTTTAAGGCCTTATACCAGGAAGCCATGGTAAGGAACCCTAAACCCTAAACCCTAAACCCTAAACCGGGAGGTTCTTTAGGGCCCAGGTACACCCCAAAAGAGAGTGACGTGGCCTTCGGTGAGCGCATCCTTGGCGATTGGTATCAGCCACCGGGGCCCTTGTTCAGTGACTCTTTCGTTTTTTGTTTTCTATTCTCTGTAACGTGGGTTTGAAGGTACCTTTTTTGGGGTGCTTTATGTGGTTTGAAGGTGCTTTATGTGGTTTGAAGGTGTAAAAGGGTGTCAGCAGCTACGAAGTTAATCTGCGCTGGAATCGTCGGGAGATGTAGCAAGGATATTTGGGAGTTTCCGGTTACTAGGGTACCTTATTTTGGGGTCCTTATAATAAGGACCCTACTATTTAGGGTCCTATATTAGGGTCCCCTGTTTTCGGAAACCCCCATTTGCTAACAAGAGCTCAGGTTCCTGACCCAGGGGAACATCACAGATCGCGGCTATGCTCCCGTCCAGGCCACCAAAGCCTCCGAGAACGTCGTCGGCAACGATGTCGGTGAGACAAAGACATCCGTACGGCCGAACCACAAGCATGACGTCTGCGAGTTCTGGGAATCGATTGGCGTGGACCAGCGGTGGTGGTGGATCAACTGAGAAGGCCACTGATGAAGCGAAGCAGACTTTCTTCAGCCACCCCCTGAACCCCAAACCCCTAAACCCTGAACCCTAAACCCTAAACCCCTAAACCCCTAAACCCTAAACCAAGTTTAGAGAAAGATCCTTTTTGAACTCAGCTCGGTTGCCTCATGTCGACCTCAGAGCAACGAAAGTGCGTGTGGGTAGTTCTCTAAATTTGGGTCCCTTTTAGGGTTTAGGGTTTAGGGTATGGCTTTAGGGTTTAGGGTTTAGGGTTTAGGGTTTAGGGTATATTGGGGACCGAAAAAGGGACCCTAATTTAGACAACTACCCATGTCACAGGGGTCATGCGATCTGTCACGGTGAGTGAGGTGTAGAGGTTTAGGGTTTCAGGGTTTGGGGTTGTTGGGGTTTCGAGGTTTCGGGTTTCGAGATTGAAGGTTGTGTGTTTCAGGGCTCCCATTTGTTTTTTCAGGGCTTTAGTGCCGAAGGATTAGGGTCTTCGGGACTCAGGGTCGCTGAAGCTTGCATGCTGATCCCTCACACCTTCGGCTTTGGGGTCCCGCTTCATAGGGTTTAGGGTTTAGGGCACTTCGACCAGAAACCCCTGAACCCCAAAACCAAACTCTCAACACCTACCTAGAGTAACCAATGTACCTTGAGAAGAGGGATAACGTGACCCTTGTAAACTTGGTGTATATTCAGCTGTTTAAAGGTGCCTTGGTTGCTTTAGGTAAACCCCAAAAAAAACCTAGAAGCCATTGCCTGTGTTTCTTGTCACGGACCTGTCTTTTCTGCTCGAAGGCTCGTAGTTGAAGCCATGGTGAGCTCAGATTTTAATCCGATATTCGGCATGAAGTTTTGGCGTTGTTTCAGCGTAGCACTTCGTAGGGAAAACCGAAGCCCCACATGAGCTAGTGTCTAAACTCTTTAAAGGGGGTTATGTAGGGATTATACAGGCCACTACATGATGGGATACTGATGGGGATAATAGGAGTTTGGATTATAGCTCACATTACGGTTGATGATATAAATCCTGCATTACCCATAACAAGAACTATACCATAATTCCCATTATTTAGGTTCCTTAAGGTAATGCACGATTTACATCACTTTACCTTAGTTCTGAGGATTGTAAGGGTTTTTGGGCAATGCGAGGCTACAGATCTTGGGCGTATGGGACCATGGGGGACACTCGTCGTCATCGATCAGACCTCGATGTCGAGTCTTATAGTTGTTTAAAGTATACTATAGTATATTGTAGTATATTACAGTATGTTATAGTATAGTATGGTATAGTATAGTATGGTATACTATAGTATAGCAAAGTACAGTATACTAGTTAGTATGTGGGTACAGCGAGGAGCTTCGGGTCTAGGATGTTGCTCGGCGGTGGATTGAACACTCGCCTGACCAGAGGATGATGTTCATTCCACACATGGGTTGTTCTCTAAATGAGGGTCCCTTTCAGGGTTCCGTTTATAAGGCTGCCGTACTATATTGGGGCCCTCAAAGGGAAACCTGATTTACAGAACTACCCACATGGGGGGTCTTTCAGGAATTGCACTTCTCTGAGCCGGTATTGGTTCAAGTCAAGGTGCATGCGACAGAAAGAGTCCCATGAGCTAATAACAGATGCTCTAAGACTTCAGCTCATGTAGACCCCTGATTACTAAAAACCCTAAACCCAAAGCCCTAAACCCTAAACCCTAAACCCCCTAAACTCCCTGTGGGGATTAGGGTCAAGTAGCGATCCTCTGAAAAACCGCGGCCCCTCAAGGCAAAAGGGTACATTGATGAGGGTTTAGGGTTTAGGGTTTAGGGTTTAGGGAGGGGTTTACATAGCCCAAGAGCGCATGACATGCCGTTGAGGGTTCTGGGGCATAGTATACTATACGTATAATAAGGAACTTCCCCAAAATAGTAGGGTTTTGAGTATGACCATCATAAGACCTTGTGTCTGGTAGATGGCGTGGGGGCTGGCAGGACATCTGCCTGTAGCGTGTTCGGAGCAGGGCAGCTTTTCTTGAACTAAATCCTAAATCCCTACACCCTAAACCC